GTCGTCCTTTGTGTGTTTATGGTGACACCATTTAAGATGTACTCACCCAGTAAATTTCAGTTTACACAATGGATTTTTTTAAAGTGTAGTCACCATAATGTACATGGGTTCCCAGAATTCTTTTTTTAATCCAAAATTTTATGCCCTTTGATCAACATCTATTTCAAAACTTACAGTGTATGAAAACTCAACGTTCATTGGAAATTATGTGACATCCCAATGAATGACCATCCTGTGACTGACTACAGAGCAAGCTCGACTTCTTCTATGCACATGTTTCAGGATGTTGTCTCCTTCTCAATTGTTCTGTGGAGCAAGCGTCCTTTTGTATCTATATTTACAAGGATTTGTAGTGCGGTTGTATGTTTGTCTTGTATCTATTCTACTCTCCTGAAAAGGGACTATAAATATGATGACGAACTAAAAGGCTTGACCTTGTGTTTAATGGAAATCTGTACCTCATATTCATTTCTCTCTCTCTCTCTCTCTCTCTCTCTCTCTCTCTCTCTCTCTCATATCTCGGTCCTAGAAAGGGTATGTGGCTCATTTACATTCACACGGCCTGTGAATATGCAGAGAGTTTGGTCATCAGTTTTTCTATTCTACATAGTTGCCTTTATGCAAAAAACTCATGGTTCATCCTTAGTGTGGGTCTCAATATTTAACTCTACCAGGATCAAATAGGTTGGGCTCCTTATATTACAATTTGGTAAGAAGATGGTCTGTGCCATTACTGTGTGATTGATCTGTACTAGAACATTACAATTTAATCAAAAGGCTATGGATGCCTGAAACACACATAGGAGCCCCTCTCTCATCCACCCCTACTGCCATCACCACATCCACTGTAAGACTTGGGGGTCTAAATGTAGGATTTTCAGGTCTTGGGTCACCCACCTTCGGGTGAGGAGGGCCTAGAGCACGTAGACATATTCCAGGAATCAGGAATCTGGGCCCTTAACGTAGTAAACCTGGGCAAGTGGAGGACACTCCTTGTCATAATCTGAGTCACCTAGAGACCAAATGGTTTGCCCTCATGAAATAAGTACTGTACCCAGCTGTTGTCTGGGGCTCTCTTGCCTGCATTCGAAAGAGTTCTAGTGCACTAGTTTCATTAAACCTCATGTTAATTACAGCAAGTTCCATCCGTGAGTTTCTGTGGGAGCGCGCCCCCTGGTTTTGGATCTTAGAATCCAACATTATGGAGGCCCCAGCTCTCTCAGACCCCACGGCTCCAGGGATCAGAGGTCCACACGCTCGAGCAGGTCTGTGTGTTGTCTATCTGTTCTTTGTTTTTGTGTTCGTGAAGTGTCTGTGCCCATGGCAGGGGTAACTGACTGTGTACTGTATTTGTGAAGTCTCTGTGTGCCCGTGGCAGGAGCGACCATCTGTGTAGACTGGTTTCTATGCTCATAGCAGAAGTGGGAACTAGGCAAGCCACAGAGAGCATTTTGTGACCCTGGGATAGAGTCAGAGACCCTGGAATATGGTCAGGTTACAAGTTCCAGGAGGGAACTTGTGGAAAGTGGAAGCAGTAGGGCAGATGTGTCAGCACACTGCAGGCCACAGTTCTCTGGAGGACTCTCTGGAGTTCATTTGTATGGTCGAAGGTGGTCTTCGGCCACCGCCGCCTGGGGCAGCATTTGTTCAGCTCTCATGGCTGTGTGTCCTTGTATAATTCTGTGTTTTTCATGACTGATGGTGTTAGAAACCTGTTAGATTTGGTCCAGCATAGGCTGGCCAAATCATCTGAATCTGTTAAATTAGGTCCAGCATAAGCTGGCCATATTGTCTGGTTATTGGATTCTTCCACCAGCAGTTTTTTATGTCTTGATTATGAAACCTGTTTTCTGTGCCTGTGACAAGGGCAAGAACTATCTGTATCACCTGGTTTATGTGCTGCCCGTGACAGGGGTGAGCTGTCTGTGTTGTTTTTCTCTGTTTTCTTGGTGAGCTTTCTGTGTGTTGGTTGTCGTTCTATGTGTTATTGGACTTTGACTGACATTATTTTGGACTGAATCTACTGTGTTAGACATCCTGCACTAAAAAGAAGTAACATGGACACTGGCAGACAAAGAGATAGAGCCACCAGTGCAAGAGAGCTGCTGCAGAGCAGAGAGGCAGGTCGTTTGGCAAGCGGGCACTGCGGTCCGGGCAGCCTGCCCACCACAGGTAGGGTATTCTCCAGGGGGCACTGCATAGGGGGGCACACTCACCTAGCCAGCGTTCGGCGGGCGACAGCTTGCGGTTCCCCTGGTGCAGTGCCCTTAAACTGCCAAGCCGTGCAGGTTGGCTACCAAGAGAAAGAAGCTTTGTCCCTCTGCTGTTGGTGGAGGCAGCAGCAGTGGGACAGAGCGAGACATCTGCCTCGCCTGGTGTGCGTGGCTGGGCAGGACAGACATCTTCCCTGAGCCTTGGCTGTTGGACAAAACCTGAGAGTTATAGTTATATATTTTTTACTTTTTTTAAAAAAGTGTGAGGCCGGGCGGTGGTGGCGCATGCCTTTAATCCCAGCACTTGGGAGGCAGAGGCAGGCAATTCAAGAGTTCAAGGCTAGCCTGGTCTACAGAGTGAGCTCCAGGACAGCCAGGGCTACACAGAGAAACCCTGTCTCGAAAAACCAATAAATAAATAAATAAATAAATATAAAAAGTGTGAGTGAATAGTGCTAACACACGTCATGTGACTCCAGCTTAGAAACCCTAAAAGAACAATGAAACTGCTTGCAGGCAAGTCACCTGCTGTAAAAAGTTACAAGCTGTCCTGAGTCAGAGAGCCAAAGGGGCTACCTGAGGCTCCAATAATTTTGACCGAAGCATGTGAGGTTAAGCAGGGATCAGATGAGTTGCCCGCATCCTTTCTAGAATAGCTCACGGAGACATTCTGTCAGTGTAGACAAGGCTATTAGATACCAGGAAAAAGCTTCAGAGGCTGGAGGGACTGCAGGGAAAGTCGTTAAAAGATTTAGTGTAGATTGCTGAAGAAATCTACCATAACAGGTAGATATAGAAAGAGAAAGAGCAGAGAAAGAGAAAAGAAAAAGATAAAAGAGAGATGAGAAAAAGAAAGGTGACAGGAAAGGAATTTCCAGAGAAGCTTGGCTATAGTAGTTAAGGGAAAGCAGAGAATGGAGACTCCAATCAAAGGGAGATCGAAAACTCCTTGAAAAGGACCAGTGTGCACATTGCAAGCAAAGGAGCCAGCTGCTGAGCCTGAGAGTGGCCTAACAAATGGAAGCCGGGGTCAGGAAATCCCAGGCCTTGGAAAAACAACCCAAATGGTGAAGATATTAGCTCTGAGTGAAAATTCATGGACTGCCCGAAAAAATGGTGGACCAAGAGATGGGCTGGGTATCCTATTCATGGTCATACCAAACTGTCCCTACTCTCTGGTGGGTCGAGACTTACTCCCCAGGATGGGGGCCTAGATACACTTCCTGCCTGACGGGCTACAACTAACTGGCCCAAATGGAGAACCCACAGATAGAGAAAAAGACTTCTGTTGCTGACCCCTGCTGGGAGCTGAGGGAACCTGCTTTACAGACAGGAGCAGTTTTCTCCATGCTGGTCAGAGACAAGCTGGTGCTGCTGCGGTGGACTGCACAAATGTCATCTGGGCTGAACTTCTACTCCCCACCCCCTGGGCTGGTTGGCGCAAAAAGCAGCCTTGGAACATGGAGCTGGCAAGAAAATTGCAGCAGGTATGCCTTTGCCACAGCCCATGTCCACAGGACTATATACCAAGAGAGAAGACTGCTCTGCTCACATCAGAAGAAATCTTAGATCTCTTGGATGCCCTGATGAAGCCAGCAACTGTGAGTATTCATTGCCCAGGACACCAGAAGGAAGGAGACTCAGTGGCCCGAGGCAATAACCAGACAGATCAAGTGGCTTGATAAATGGCTACACAGGATCCTGTCCCAGTTGTGGCCCTACAAGAGACACCTGCTGGAATAGATTAAGAGATGGCCTCACTTAAAACATACAGAAGAAAAAAGGACACAGATTGCTAGCCACCCTGCCAACTATTACCTAGAGAAAAAGGGGCAATGGTGCACATGAGAAGGGAGAACTATACCCCCCCAGAAAGCAAACAAAAGACTTCAGGTTTTGGGCCAGAGAGATAGTAAAACAGTGTAAGATATGCCAACAAGCAAAGGCTTATGGGGCTTAGAGTAAACAGGAAAAATCCCTAAGGGAAGACAGCCTAGAGTATATTAAGAGACCAATTTTGCAGAAGTTAGGCCAAAAAAATATATAGATACCCTCTAATTTATGTAGATATTATCTCTAGATGGGTGGGGGGGGTCCCCACCAAGCAGGAAACAGATACTGTGATAACCAAGAAGATATTAGAAGAAATCTACTCGAGCTTTCGAGTGTCCAAGGTAATTGAATTAGATAACGGTCTTGCTTTTGTTTCTAAGGTAAGTCAGGGATTGTCAGAGATATTGGGGGCTAATTGGAAGCTCCATTGTTCATACTGTCCTCAGAGCTCAGGGCAGGTAGAGAGAATAAATAAAACCTTAAAAAGGGACCTTAACTAGATTGCCATCGGAAACTGGTGCTGGTTAGATAGCTTACCTTGTCCTGTTCTGAGCCCAGAATGCCCCTCTCGTATGAGACCCACCCCCACCCCCTTGACTCCAGCTCTTGATTCACTCCCTTCCCAGAAATGACTTTTCAGGCTAATAAGAGGCTGTTCCTGGTGCTGCTGACCATCCTGACCTCCATTGAAGTAGATGGAGTAACTGCCTGACTTCATCTAACTCAGACCAGCACCTGCGCCTGATGCCAACTGGAGAGCAGCTGGACACCCGAACAACCCCCTCAAGCTCAAGATCAGCTGCTATTCTACAAGGCCAAAGAACAGCAGGCCTTGACTCCTGGGATATTCCCCATCCTAGAGGCACAAGGGTGGAGATTACCCAAATGTCAGAGATAAGAGACTTTTGAATCTAAACCTTGTCCCAGATGCAGCCTTAGAGGGTGGGGCTTAGGGTGTGTTCACCCAAAGTTAAATGACAGCTTGTAATTCCAGGATTAGGATCACTCACAAAAAAGGGGGGGAGAATGTAGGACTTTTGGGGAAAGGAAAGAGGAGAGGCTAGGGGAGAGAAAGAACCTAGAGGCAAGAGAGCAAGAGAGCGAGGAGGAGGCAAGCAGCCCCTTTTATAGTGGGCAGGCCTATCTGGCTGTTGCCAGATAACTGTGGAGGTGGAGTTTAGACAGAATACTAACCCTACGGACTGTAAAAGCTCACTGAACGAGCAGCGAGCAGCGTGGAGTCACTTCTCCTTTTGGGATGCGGAATGGTCCCTGTTAGTATTCAGTCTAAACTCCACCTCCACAGTTCTCTGGCAACACCCAGGTATGCTCCTCCCCACAGTTACCTGGCAACAGCCAGGTAGGCGTGCCCACTATAAAAGGGGCTGCTTGCCTCCTCCTCTCTCTCTTACTCTCTTACTCTCTTGCCTCTAGCTTCTCCTTGCCCTTCCTCCCTTCCCTTCCCCCTCTCTCCACGTGGTCATGGCTGGCCTCCACTACCTCTACTTCTCTCCTCTCTCTCTCTCTCCTCTTTCTCCACCATCTTCTCCCGTTTCTCTCCCTACCATCGCCCTCTGCCCTGAATAAGCCCCCTCCCCTTTAGAACCGTTTGGTCTGGTGTTGTCTGTTCCAAGCTGTGTGCTGATGTCTAACAGTCCCAGCATGCTGGAACATTAAAATTCCTCTTGCTTTTTGTAGCGATTCTCCTCTCCACTGGGTTACCTCAGGGGGTCTCTGGTAAACTAAGGCTCTGTTCTCTAGAGTCTTACAACCCAACTAGAAAGCTCAAGGGAAAACTTTACAAATAGAAGGGGTCAAATCAAAGATAGAATATCAGGACTTGATAATAAGGTAGAGGAGTTAGACCAAGCAAGCAAAGAACATGAAAACGGGGGGGAGGGGGAGGGAGGGAGGGAGGGAGGGGGAAGGGGAGAGGGAGGGGGAGAGGGGGAGGGAGGGAGGGGGAGTGGGGGGGGAGGGAGGGAGGGCGAGCGGGGGAGGGAGGGAGGGAGGGAGGGAGGGAGGGGGGAGGGGAGGAAAGGAACGTGCAGAAACTATGGGACACCATGAAAAGGCCAAATCTTCACATTATAGATATAGATAAAAGAGAAGAATACTAGGTAAAAGGCAAAGACTAGACATTCAGCCTTGTTGTGGTTGGTTTGATGCTGTTTTGTTATGTCAACTGACACAAGTTAGAGTCATCTGGGAAGAGGAAGTTCCTCCATCAGATTGCCTGTAGGCAACTCTGAAGTACATTCTCTTAATGACTGATTGATAACAGTGAGTTCAGCACGTGGCAGGGGGATGATGCCACTCTGGGGCAGGTGGTCCCAAGTTGTATAAGAAAGCAGAATGGGGGAGAGGAGAAAAGGAAAGTAGAATAGCCAGCCAATGAGGAGTTTTCTGATACTCATCTTTTCTCTGTGGTCTGGGCTTCAGTCTTTGCCTCTAGGTTCCCACTGACGTCCTTCAGCATTGGAATGTGACCTGAGACTTGTAAGATAAAATAAACCCTGCACTACTCCAGTTGTGGTCACTCTGGATGTTGTCTATCACAACAAACGAAACCCTAATTAAGACAAAGTTAATAGAATAAAACTTCCCTCAAGTTGCTTTTGATCCCAGTCTTCCCCCCCGTTAATTTATGTATACATAAATTAGCTTACATCGTTATTGCACACTCCCCTCCTTCCAGGACTCCCCTCACATGGCCCCTCCCCTTCACCTCTGATGTCACTGCAGGACTAGGCTCGTCCTGTCCCACTGAGGCTAGCCATGACAGCCCAATTAGGGGGACAGGATCCACAGGCAGGCAGGCAACAGAGTCAGGGACAGTCCCTGCTCCAGTTGTTGAGGGACCCACAGGAAGACCAAGCTGCACATCTGCTACATATGTGCAGGGGTCTGGGTCCAGCCTGCGCATGCTCTTTGGTTGGTGGTTCAGTCTCTAGGAGCCTCCAAGGGTCCAGGTTAGGTGACTCTGTTAGTTTCTCTGTGGAGTTCCTATTCTCTTCAGGTTCCTAAATCCTTCCCCAACTCTTTCACAGACCTGCTGAGCTCTGTCTAACGTTTGGCTATGGTCTCTGCATCTGTTTCAATCAACTGCTGTGTGGAGCCTCTCAGAGGACAGTTATGTTAGGCTCCTGTCTGCAGTCATAACAGAGTATCATTAATAGTGTCAGGATTGGTTCTTGATCACAGTCTTTATAACGGCAGTAGAGAGCAAACTAGGACACCGTCTGTAGTAATTAGGTAATTCAAATGAAAACTACTTTGAGATTTCATCTCACCACAATCAGAAGAGTCAAATTTTAAAAAATGGGCTGTGGATCTGAAAACGGAGTTCTCAAAAGAATAAATAAAAATGGAGGGGTGGACTCCTTCCAAACACATGAACACAAACAGCAACCTTTTGGATTCTGTTTGTCCTGACACCCAATAAATACAAGTG